AATGACAGCTGTCATTTTTAGTTAACACTGTTACGTTCAATCATCACCAGGCCTCTATTTGGGCTCATCTTTACCATTATGCAGTGGGGCAACTACCGTAGGTGGCAGATCCTGCAGGACAGCAGTGATGGTGCTCGGTCTGTTCCTCCTGAGCCCTCCTTATGCTGGAGAACAGAGATTGGATTCACTTGGATCAGTCATAAGGTGGCCTGTTCTGGATTTGGCTTACTGTGATTTGGGTGAGAAATATTTATTTATTTATTTATTCAATTAATTAATTAATTAATGAGCTTGTAGGCTGCCTCAGTCACAGAGGCAATTCTACGCTGCCTATTTTTTTGTTTGCTTGTTTGTTTGGTGCCTTGGAGTCAGTGTTGACTCCTGGCGACTGCCTGGACTAGTCCCTGCAGTTTTCTTGGCAAGGTTTTTCAGAAGTGGTTTGCCCTTGCCTGCTTCCCGGGGCTGAGAGAGTGTGAGTGGCCCAAGGTCACCCAGCTGGCTTTGTGCCCAAGGCAGGACTAGAACTCCCGGTCTCCCGGTTTCTGGCCTGCTGCCTTCACCATGACACCAAACTGGCTCTCTTATTAGCATTTATGAGGATATATTAGGAATATTAGGATTAGGATTAAATATCACAGCAGCAGTACCACCACCACCACCACACAGACAAACCATAAATAGAATGTCGCCATTCTGATTTGTGACCCGTAGCGTATGGCTCACTGTAAGCCCCCAGGCCACTATGGTTTGCTCAACTAGCCAAAACAAAACCACGTGGTTCGATGAAATGCAGATTCATCCCTATCCTGTTACATGTCCTGATCAGTTTAACTGGCTTGTAGCCTATTACGCTCAGGTAGAGTGGTGGATATTGTCAGCCTCTCTGAGGGAGCAGGTGCTCTCTTACCGTTTGCCCCAGGCTGTGAAATGTCTTGAGATCGCCTTGTGCCTGATGCTTCACCCACAAACAACTTTCCAGTAGCTAAAGCTGGTGATCCTTTGAGTCCCTAGTCTTGGCTTACAGTACTGAAAAAAAAAAAATTGCTCCTAAGTGTCTTCTCTAAAGCTGTAGCGAATGGGCTTCCCAGTTGCCACCTAGGAACAAGGATGCAGTGTAAGGCTGACTAAGCACTCATTAACATGCGCGATTGGGTCTATTGTGTGGCAGTGACAGCCGCAAGGAGGGCTTCCATTTTGCCTCTGTTGCATCCTCAAGTTGTTGCCCAGCAGTGCTTTTCTCTGTTGTTCTTGGATTAAGGACATTTTACCCCAGGAAATGTTTTACAGCTCTTGGAAACCTGCTCTGAAAAATGAGAAGGGTACTTTGAAGATAAAAATCATTTGTGATCATAGGGATCTAAATGATGCCATTGTTGCAATCCCAAATGAGGTGTCCAATGTTCTGTCTTCCCTTGTTTTCTGGGATCATTTCCCACTTTTGCAATCTAGGGATGCGGACAAGAGGTTTACAGAGATTCACCCCAAAACTCTTCTTGGCTAATTTGAGCTAACTGCAGATGACTGAAAAGGTGAATCCAGGGAATAATACACTAAAGAGGTGGGTGGTACCATCTGCCTTTCAGGAGAGAGTGGTATGACCACTCTTGAAAAACACTCCTTAGCCTTGGAAGATGATAATAATGCTTGTGTCACATGACTTCTACTTGGGCAAAGAGATCAAGAAGGTGATGGGGACTAATCATGGAGATCTGCATTGGCTGCTTGTTTGCCACTGAGTGAAATTCAGGGTAATAGGCTTTCTGCACAAAATTATGAACCACCTGGAACTGGGTAATCTGAAACAATATCTCCAATGCCCAGCCGCCTCCGATCTTTGGGATAAATTTTAGTCTTTGTGCTACAGCTCTCAAATTGCCGTGTAGCAGTGATGCAGAGGCAGAGCTTGCTGTGGTGGCACCTTCTGCCATACTTTCCTCTATAGTATCCAGGATCCACCACTACTATTTGTGTGTGCACGTGCACGTGCACGTGCCTTCAAGTCTCTTAACCACACCAAACTGGCTCTAAACGGCTTTAGATTTCATAAAAAACTCACCTTTTTATGTTAGCTTTTCCACTAATTATTTCCCCCATATGGTTCTATTTTAATGGTTCTAGTTTTATTCCGTTTTTATTCTATTTTTACCTTTTAAAAAATGTTCTTATTGTGTTGTATTATATTTTTAGCTTTTAAAAATGTTTTTAGACTCTACAGTGTGGCATGCAAAAATCATGAAAAGGATTCCATATTCTATGAATACCTGGCACAAAACGCTTCTCATCAGTCACCCTCCACAACAGTCTGCAGCCCGTTTTCATATCTTAATTTAAAACATTTAAAATACCGCTTGTCTAACGTTGTGTCGGAATAACAGGCTTCTTTCTAACAGTGATTCACTGCTCTCTCCAGCTATATAAAGAAAATCTGGGGCTCTGGTACGAAGAGCGGAGTCTGTATATGTAAGCATCTGCGTCAAGGACACAGGCCTTGCATTTCTGGTGGCACCTGGCATCTGGCCAAACAGCTTGGTGCATGATAGAGTAACAAACCAGCCTTTTCTCTTCTGATGAGATGGCAAGAATGCAATTCTGTCCGACAGCTGAAGGTCAAAAGGAGAACAAAAGCTGAGCAGCTGAATCTCGTGCTCTTTATTTTTGCTTTCATCCTGCAATCTTGAAACAGCTCCCAGGGAATCTTTATCATGTACGGATCCCTCCCTGTCCTCTAAGTTGCATGTGTGGTGATTCTGCTTGATTTAAACAAGGGAGGAGCAGATTAGGAGAAGGTCATTCAAGTATACTTGAGTTGGATAGGAACAGGGAGATTTGAACCCTGTCCATCTTTCATTCAAGCCTCGTATATGATCCATGCTGGTTCTTTACCTTATTAGGTAAGGTAAAGAAGAAAACAGATGTAGTGCGTAAGATCTTATCACCAAAGCAATTGAATTTCACGATGTTGTGGTGCCATCTCTGGGGAAATAATGTCTCCTCTGGCATGTTCATTGTAATTGTGACTGCTAGATGGAACAGACTTGTACGAATGACATAACCACTTCGTGGCTATGCCTTTGCCATCATCCTGACAATTAACACACGCCCACAGCATGTTGCCTGCTGCCTTATCTCAAAGGGATGCTTTGAATCAAGGTAGTCCAGTTCCACGTCTGCCCCCAAACTCCCAGAGGTGGGAACTGTTCCCAGTCCCCATGGCTTATTTTATCTATCTTGCACAGTTGTTGCAAGGTTTACAACAAAATGTCGAGTTTACATCGTAGATGGATGCTCTGTATTGTACACTATATACACCACTGGTGGGTTCTTTCATTAAACATGCTAGACATCTGAATTCTATTCATTTAGTTTATTATTGCATGGGTATTCTCTCTTTTTCTCTGGATTCTCAAGAAGTCCATCACAATTGCCCTGTGAAGTAAACTTGGGTTGAGTAATCCGTTGGTTAAACATATCTCCCTGTCCCATCTTTAACACATGAAACCCTCCAGTCCACTGGCTCCCTTGTATTTGGCTAGGAAATGGAAGAGCCTTCCTAACTTGATGTCTTCCCAAAGCCTGGCTGGGAATTCTGGAAGCGGTAGTCCCAATATACAGTGGTACCTCTAGTGACGAACACCCCTCCTTACGAATTTTTCGAGATATGACCAGCTCCAGCCCCAAAAAATTACCTCGACTTGCGAACTCCGCCTCAAGTTACGAACCGGATCCGTGGCCATTTTCCCTGCTGCCACGCGGTCGTGGCTTCCTGTGGGCGAGCTCGCGGTAGCAAGGAGACGTTCGGTGAGGCT